GTGTGTGTGTGTGTGTGTGGGTGTGTGTGTGTGTGTGTGTGTGTGTGTGTGTGTGTGTGTGTGTGTGTGTGTGTGTGTGTGTGTGTGTGTGTGTGTGTGTGTGATAAAGGGGCTGGGGATTTAGGAGATGGGTGAAGGGGCGAGTTCTAAACTACAGGTTCTGTACAACAAACAGTCCTGAGAGAAGGAGGGAGGACAAGAGGAGGAGAAGGGAGAAGGCTCTACCTCTGTCGGCTGAGTTGTCAATTGCTGAAGAAGAGGAGAAGAAGAAGAAAAAGGGTTTTTGTTTGCAAGTTAAGCTGCTGATAAAAGAACAACGGAAAGATGGATTTAGTTGCACTAGCTATTTGTAAATCTGTTATTAAGAGTGTGCAGTAAGTCTCTAAATGCAATTTACTAAATCAGATTATACCGTTAAAACTTCTTAGCCTTGATGATAGCCTACATAGCTGAACTTAAGACACAAGACAGATTACTGTTACTATTCTTTATTCCCTTATCTATACATTTTCTTTTAATATTATCTTCTACATTACTTTACTTTGACCTATACATGTATCTATTTCATTTAGTTAGTTATTTAATTTACTAGCTAGGACCGGGAGGGGGGGAAAGGGGAAAACAATTATATATATTGACTGTATAAATGTAAACTCATTGTGCCTGACTCAATAAAAAAAAGATGAAAAAAACTTTTTAGCTACTTCAGCTCCAAATATGGAATCAAGTATGTAAACAGGAAGTGTAGCATCAAAAACCCTAGCATAACTTACAAAAATAACAATAATAACAGTAATTAACTCATTATAATGTATATCTCAAATGTGTTTGAACCTGCCTAAATGGAGAAATACGCTTTTTTAGAGTTTAACATGTTTTTCTAATGAGTTAATTGGCCGTTAATTATTTGCATGCATTTTGTAATCTTAGGAGAATGGGCTAATAATAAACGTCCTCCTCATTATTAAAAAGCATTTTGTCATTTGACATATTTATTCTTCACTGATATGTTGGAAATAAGCATATGTTTTTCAATTTAGCTTCAGTCTGTATAACTTATTAATAACTAATCTCTACAAAGGAACTACTTTGTGTTGTGCCACTTGATTTAATGCATTGATGTGAAACTCTTTTATCTTAGCTACATTGAAACTAGGCAGAGTTTGTTTGAACTTACAAAAAGCTGGTGTAGCTCTAACTAGCAAATCACATTTTCATTTCTCAAATCGTCTCATTAATTACATTTTTAGTGTCATTACAAAGACATTTCTCTGTATACAGGAAAGCTGGAGGAATGAGATTACGTAGCATCGTGTTCTCCTGACACTGACCTCTTTTGAGAGATACCAGGAAGGTCTGGCTGGTGGATCCGTGCTCGTTGGAGGCCTCGCATTTCACCCCGTCCTTCATGACCTCGGGCGTGGCCTCCAGAGTCACCAAGCTGACCACCTTGCTCCCTTCCACTGATACAGACTGTCAGGAGAAATGGACGTAGGAGAGAGAAAGAAACATGAGTGTTTAATGTGGCACATTGCTATTAGCTCATATAGGATAACCTTCACTATCAGTGTGTTTCCTGCTAAATCCTATGGGACTAGGGGTCACTTACTTACATACAGTGTTTGGAACATTATTCAGATTCTTTACTTGAGTAAAAGTACTAATACCACACTGTAACAACACTACATTTTAAGTAATTGGGAATGTTCCTTAAGTAAAAGTATTGTTGTACGATAAGGAAAATGTACTTAAAGTTAAAGTAAGAACTCCTTTGTTTTCTATTTCAAAATATTTGTATGCAAAAGCAGTAATTGTAGCTTTAAACAAAAACGTCTGAATTCCAACACATTTTCTGTTAACTCATTCATGGTTTAAGTTACTTAAATATAATGTGGTGTGGTTTAATGCAGTGGTTCTCAACTGGTCAGGCCTCGGGACCCACCTTTTACTTGGTCAATAAATCGCGACCCAACATTTTGAAACACTCAAATCTATTCAACAAAAAAACCTGCTGTAATGTATACGCTTCTCAGCATACAATATTAATAAAAGTGAAGTACAGTGCAGAGACTGCCAAGGCACACTCACAGAACTAAAGTATGTTTTAAAAAATGTTTAATGAGATGATGGAATCAAAGCTGAACTGTATAAAAAGGCACACAGGAGATTTTTCGAAATACTAACATAAACTATGCATTCTGGTACACTCTGAGAACGCCTGCATGAACAGCGTTAGAAAATCGGGCCTTCAAAATAAAAGTTTGACTTTTTCCCCCAAAAAAAAGAATTCCAATTTTTTTTTTTCACTCACACATCCTCGAAACAGGTCAGCGACCCACTTTTGGGCCGCGACCCACCAGTTGAGAACCACTGGTTTAATGTATACCAAATATTTTAACAGTTTTTCGCATTGTGTGTCAACATTTGAACAGTAACTAGTAAATAAATCTGTTAAAAATGTGCATTGGAGGAAAAATTACAAAATTGGCACGCAAAATGTAGAGTAGAAGTATAAAGTATAATAATGTGAACATATGCAAGAAAAGTACCTAAAATGTGTCGTTGAGTATAGTACTTGAGTAAATCAGTTTCTTTCCAGCTTTGCTTACATAACGAAATGGGATGTTTGGTCCAAATGACCAGCACTAAATTATCAAATGAATATTTACTGAGGCAATTTAATAGGCAATAGAATAAAGTAGTTTTCAGACACATGCTCCTGACTATTATTCAGTCTCTTATTCTGTTTTACAACAATTTCATTTTTAACTTGAATCACCAGTTTGTCTGTGTTTCTTAAGTCTTATATTCTAATGAAGCTCAACGCAAGTTCAGACAGGAAGACCTATCACTTCGTATTGCACGTCATGGCAATACTCGCTCCCTTCACTAAATGATAGGGAGCGCCACTCCTCAGCAAACCTATCACGTCCCTCCATTCACAAGCCTAATCATCGCACCTGGTAATCCCTCTATATATGCTCTCCCCTTTTCCATCAGCTGTCTTCCAGGTGTCAACGCGCAACCCTCCTCCACCCCTTCGCCTCCTGCTTCCAACTCAGGGCCAAGCTCAACCTTCTCCCTTCCAACCGGACCTAAACCACTCATCACCACCACCAGTGTCTAGACCCAGGGGGGCTCATCGGAAACGGTTCTTTCCTTCCCGAATGACATCCTACCAAACCTGGGCCTAATCGCCAAAACACCATTTCATTCACTTGCTACAAACTGTCATCATTATGTTCATTTATATAATGTGACCCGATAATAAACATGTATTCCATACATCACGTCTCTCCTGAGTGAAATGTCTTCTAGTGTTTCTGTAATGGATCGACGACACCTGGACACTATCATTTGCACATTTGAGCATATGTCTCCCCATGATTCAAATGTATACATTAGATGCAATCAGCTATTGAAGCTTACATATCTCTTATCTTTTGATCTCACAAACATAACTATTTGCTCCTGAAACGATCCGACTTTTCAGCAGCATCATTAAACTTTTATCTAACTTTATCACTTCATTTGATGTAATATTTCAATCATGAAGCTGCATACCCCCGGTGCGTTTCTTTTCAAACTGGGATATCATATGGGAATTTCTTCTCAACTTTTCCACATCAATATGAAATATAAAAATAATATATTACTTATCATAGACCGGGAGCGGTTTCTCTTCTTTCTGTTTTTCTGTTGCTTTTGAAGTTTAACAACCAGCCAACCGATATTTCAGATGTTTTGAAAAATCTTGCCACACTTCACTTTTCGACCCAGATAAAAAACACTGATAGTGATAGCTATTTGTTTCAAGTGCATCTTAACCACTGCTTTTGTAAATAGTTTTACTTCTGCAATCTCTTCCAGGAAAGGATCAGAAGTTGTACACTTGACCAGGTATTTCATTTTTGCATTCGTACCTGTTTTCCTGAGGGCTTCCAGGTGAACTGAGGGGCAGGAAAGCCGTAGGCAGAGCACTTCAGAGTCACCATGTCTCCTTCCTTTGTGACCTCTCCAACAGCCGGAGTCTCGATCATCGGCTTTCCTGGAAACGTTGAGACAGAGCCAGTGAACAGGGGGAAACTTTGGTATAAACAAGACAGCAACATCTCAAACACACACACTGTAAACAAGTATGCTTACAATAATACCATAGAATCCAAATAACAAGTTTGAATAGTTGGTAATCGGAGTCATCTTATGTTGTTTGAGTATATAAACACACTTGGTTAAACTCACTAAACTTGGGAAAACAAGATGACACATATTTAGATAATTATGTAAAGTTATAAGTTACTTTCAGAACGTTAACGCTAGAGGGGTTCATAATAAATGTACAGCAGCTCCCAGTAAGCTTGTTCATTTTCAGATTATTGGGGTAGAATTCAATCTTTATAATCGTTTCTATGAGTTCAGTTTACTTCAACTAACATAGCTTAAAACTATGCATGCTTAGGATTATGCCAATATGCTAATCATGTCTCTTTTTAAACTTCATTTAACGATTTTGTAGTTAATGATAGCAGCACATTCATTCGTCCAATCAAGAGAAATGTGAGATGAGTAATGATTTCCATGTTGAAGTTACAGCTAAGTTTGGCTTAGACGACTCCACTGAACTCCTGTACTGTATTTTAAAGTACATATTCTTCTAAACACAAATGGTTTCATCACAATAAATTATAAACAGTAGGAAGCCACACCTTCTCTCAGTTGCAACCATGGAATACACCACTTCCTTCCTCTGACCAAAACAATTACACATTACCGCTATTGTTATAACCCTGTGTGTGTGTGTGTGTGTGTGTGTGTGTGTGTGTGTGTGTGTGTGTGTGTGTGTGTGTGTGTGTGTGTGTGTTTGTTTAGTTTTTGCATAGGTTGGGTACTTTAGAAAAAGAAGTACAACTAAAATAAAGTGCTTCATGTTGCTGCTCTTAAGCAATGGGCCTCATGCTTCTGGGTTACTCTGTATACATGTATCAGTGGAGTTGTGCGTGTCAGTGTGTATGTATGTGTACAATTATAACAACACAGATGCTGATGGGATTTCAATCCTAACTTAAGTCTTGTTCAAACACAGTTTTGTTGGTTTTCCTTTAGAAGAATGTACCTTTGACAGTGAGGGTAACACTAGCCATGGCTGTGAGGCCTGGCACAGACGGCACGGCGCCAACACACACGTACTCTCCAGCATTTTCATAGGAAGCGGCTTGTATCGACAGAGTGCCGCTCTGTGAGAGCACCTCGGAGCCCTGGAGGAAAAAGAACAAAACTAGAATTACCACCTGGTAGCCTCAATTTGCAAGTCATGTGAGTCTAACATGTCCTCATCATTTAATCCCATTAGAATGTTTTTATGAAATAGTCATAACTAGCGCATTCATTCTTGAGTTATATAATCCAATCCAACTTTATTTATAAAGCACTTTAAAACCTCCAGACCAAAGTGCTGTGCAGAGAGATACATACAATATAAAATCACGCAGCTCACAGAACATAAAAATAAGTATAAAAGGTACGAACACAAAACAAACCAGAATAAACGTAACAACTACAAAAAATAAAATAAAAACAGCCATATATTAAAAACAATATACCCCTGAAAGCTATGCTCTAATTAGTGTATTGTGTGGTCACAGTGACATTGACCTCATCCCACCACTTTCTAATTAGTTCTTCCTCGAGTCCAATAGAAAGTTTGCGCCACTTTCGAAGAAATTTCCTCGTGGCGTTCCTGAGATATCGCGTTCCTGATAACGCGAGGTCACAGAGACCTTTGACCACAAAAACCTTATCAGTGCATCCTTGAGTATAAGTGGATGTTTGTGCCAAATTTGGGGAAGTTCCCCCTTAGGCATTCTTGAGGTATCAGGTTCCTGGGAATTAGACGTACTAGCGGTCCAAGCTAAAAAAAAAAAATGCTCAAGGAGAAAAAATAAAAGCAATTCGAGGGACGCCATGAGCCATCAATTGTATGTTTTTAATCTTGGCACTTGAAAATGAGATTAGAACAACATGCAGTAATGCTGGGAAAGCAGAAGAAGCACCTTCACACACACTGCTCCTAAGCGCAGTGATAACAGATCAAAGTCCGTCCTCCATGATGAACCTGTCTCTTGCAATTCCACTCAACGTGTTCTCATAGGAATCTTTTTTTACCAAGAGCAAACACGTTCTCTCCCAGAAAACCAGCAGTCGGTGGGTTTCCATCACACCCAGGAGACAATAGATACACAGGCAACAGGCTTGACACAGGAGGAACATTCCTCACATAACAAGTGGGGGAGAGGAGATAAATCAAAAAACACCACTGCTGCAACACTGATATGTTTGTTTTCCAGTTTGACAAATGGTCTTTTTCTTTGGTATGTTTACTGTAGCTTGGTTTGCCATAGAAAATAAACAGCAGAAAGAGTGTGTTGTGTTGCTATTATCTTTAATCTTCTGGTAAACATAGTAGGGAAAATTCAAAAAATGTTGTGTTATCTTTTACCCTCATCAGTTATTGATGTTCTAGTATGTTTGATTTTGACTCAGTAACTTTCCCTTCCCCCCACACACCCCTCCCTGCCTGAAACGCCTCGATTAGACTCCTGTGTTTACTTCCGTAACATAGTGACATCACTGTGAAACATGTTTCCTTTGGCTAGCACTCTAACACATTGTAATTGACAGGCTAAGGGGCGGGACATTTCTAAGCAGCTGACCAATCAGAGCAGACTGGGCTCTGGTTTCAGACAGAGGGTGAACAAATAAGCAGAATAGGGACGATTTTTATTCCATATTTAATTCCTTCTTATTCAATTCCATTGCAATGTAAATACTGTTATATATATTATATTTTTTATATTTGTCTAGTTCTCTACCTGTGTTTTTAATTTTTATGCACAACAACACCAAGTCAAATTCCTCGTACGTGTAAACCTACTTGGTAATAAACCTGTTTCTGATTCTGATTCTTTAATACATGTTTCAATACCGTGTTGGTGCTCACAGGGACTGTAACAAACACTAGTGTCTGCTGCTCACCAGTTGCTACATCTTGGCACAACACAATGCAGCTTGTGTAGCAGGGCCACAACTGTCTTTATAGGAAGCAATGGCTCCTGTTATACGGCAGCTGCACACTGAGTAAGGAAATCACAGCATGACATTTTGTTTATCCAATGAAAAAGAGGGTAGTGTGTTTACAATCTTGGATCAAAACTGAACCAGAATCACTAAAGACCACATCACTCCCGTCCTCCAGAACCTCCACTGGCTCCCCGTCCGTCAAA